CAGTCAGTCAAATCATGTAGTCATTAATATCCATATGACCAACATATGCAGCTCATAAACAGACACTCATGCCAAAGCATTATTGAGTGTGTATGCATGTGTGTGTATGTATGCGCGTGTGTGTGTGTGTGTGTGTGTGTGTGTGTGTGTGAGTGAGTGCGGATTGACTTGAGTGTCATCTCTATGAAGGAACACTCTGTGGAGAGATTTCTGAACAGTCTCAGTCCAGAGTAATACCAGCAGTGCACTTCAGAGAAAAGCCTGTGTCTACAGCTGATGTCTGTCTGTGTGTGCGTGCGTGCGTGTGTGTGTGAGTGTGGGTGTGTGTGTGTGGGTGGGTGTGTGTGGGTGGGTGTGTGTGTGCTAGTGAGCGAGAGAGTGAGAGAGAGAGAGAGAGTGTGTGTGTAGGGCAATAGAATATACGGTCTGTACAGTATAAAAACCATTACGCCTATGGGATGTCCCCACTTTTCACAAAAACAAACCTGTGTGTGTGTGTGCGTGTGAGTGAGAGAGAGAGAGAGAGAGTGTGTGAGTGTGAGTGTGTGAGTGAGCGAGCGAGTGAGAGAGAGAGAGAGAGAGTGTGTGAGTGTGAGTGTGTGAGTGAGCGAGCGAGTGAGAGAGAGAGAGAGTGTGTGAGTGAGTGAGCGAGTGAGCGAGCGAGTGAGAGAGAGAGAGAGTGTGTGTGTGTGTGTGTGTGTGTGTGTCCCGGTGCTGGGTTACCTGCTGGTCTCGTACGGCGCGTATCTCTCGGGAAGCACGTGCAGGCAGCGCTGGAAGAACCGCACGTGCCGCTCGCGCAGAAAATCTAGCTGCTCGTGATCAAAATCCGCCATCATCTCACACAGGAGAAAGACGGTCAGCGCGCCGCTTCCGCTTCCGCTGCAGGAACACGCGGCAAAATAAGAGTCCCGCTGCGGCACTGCTGCGGCTCTGATTCTTAATGACTTACAAACAGACGCGCTGTGATGTATAAAATGTTTCTTGTATCTTGAAGAGAAACTAAAATGCATCCTTTTTACACATTTTTTCAGTTCATTTGATTGACTTGAGTGTCATCTCTATGAAGGAACACTCTGTGGAGAGATTTCTGAACAGTCTCTGACACTGTATTCTGTTGAACATCAAAGGTTGTTGTTATTATGCACATTAATGTTTTCAGATCCAGGGAAAATATTGTTTTTATTTTGAAGTGAAACAGTATAATTAGACCCTTGGGGTAAGATGGGCCGCCAGAATTGGCACAGAATAACTAATGTTATTACTTTTAAATGTAATACTTACTGTACATTTTAAAATATTTTGTGCAATTAATCAAATGCTTTTTTATTTATTTCCTTTAATAACACATCAGCTGATGCACCATCATCATCATCATCATCATCAGCATCGTCGTGCACAGGCTAAGCGTCCAGCTAAATATGTTGTAATGTAAAGGTAAAAGCAGATAGTTTGTGTGGAAGATCTGAAACACGGGTCCAGAGACGTCCAGCGTGAGAAAAATACATGTTCTGTGGCCAAAATATATGTGAAATATATGCTACATGTATGTTGTAAACAGTGACACTTAATGACATGTATTTTTGAAAAAAAAAACAAATGTAATTAGTTTTAACCAAAATAGATTTCAAAATGTACGTCAGGGTCAAGGAAACACTTTTCCAATCTTACATTAGCCTACAATTACATTAAATGCAAATATGGATGGAAAAGTCTATTAGAGATCAAACTTAGATTTATAGTTAGTTAATAGTTAATAATGTTTCATTTTTATATATATATTGTAATACTGTTTTTTTTAAACGTTACATGTTCACACGTTATAGACAACAAATTAAGTTTTTCTTTAAATATGAAATATGTGAATGTATTTTCTTGAATTGAAACAGAAGGCAAAATATATTTTTAGATGTTTTGGAAAAATATATATATTTTTAAAAAATATATACAAAAAACATATTGGTAGAAAATAAATGTATATAAATATATTTTTAAACATTTTATGCAAATATCTCAGGAGCTCCTCAAAACTAGAGTTTTATCACTGGTAGAATATCAAATAAGAAAAACATTTAAATACACGTATTTAGCTCAAGTATAATTTATGCAATAGGTCAAACTCTGAACAACCAGAGATCAAACGTATAAAACTAGCCCTAGTGATGGGAGAAACGAACCTTTTTGAAGCTTCGAATCAATTGAATCAATTGCTTGGCAAATGATTCACTGATTCGAAGCGCTCGAAACGCCACACGCTGGTGACGCCTGCTGGTCAAAACTGTGTAAGTGCAACAGGAACTGCTTTTACACAACCACTGCAACTGTTTTATTGAAAGTTATTAAATAATGTAATCAATAATTGTCTGTATAATATATGTTCTTTTATTAAATTGCAGGGCTTGTTTGTTCAATGGAGGTCTTTTCCTTTAATTACACTAATTTCTCCTTTAAAAAGTCTAGAGATGTATGAAACTGCACTGGGGACTATAACAGCGCGTTTCCGCCACTGAATAAAAAATAAAAAGGGTAATTGTGACTTTGTAACTCACAATTATGGCATTTTTTTCTCAGAATTGCAAGACATAAACATGCAATTCTGACATTTTTCTCACAATTGCGAGTTTATATCTCCCAATTCTGAGGAAAAAAAGTCAATTTATGTTTAATTCAGTGGCGAAACGCTTCCATTAGGGACAGATATCCAGGGTTGCCAAGTCCTCGGGTTTCCAGCGGAATCCGGCTACTTTAAAGTGTACTAAAAAGAACGAAGCTTTTACGGGTTTGGAACCTCATGGGGGCAAGTGATTAATGACAACATTTTCATTTTGGGGTGGATTAACCCTTTAACAGCTGTCAACAATGTTAGTGCGCAAGTGCCATGTTTTATTATTTACTCATCGCAGTTTTTATTTTGTTCGCGCATGCGCACCTGCCTATAGCCTTCAGTGGTGTAGAGACGGATAGAGAAAAGATGCGTGTTAAATAACGCTTGGTTTGTGGAGTATTCTCTGAATGCTGATGTAACAGTGTTGTGGTACTGAACTCAGAATAGAAAGAACTCCATCAGCCAGATATTTGGGATAGTAGATCCCCATTGATGCCAGACATAATTATCTGGGAAGCATTAATAGATTGTGCCTCCAGGGCTCCAGGGTTCGTGTACGGTCTCACTTCCCTGCTTTCAGCCTCAGAATGAACACAGAGGATCTAATGTGATGCTGGTTGAATTTGCTGGACTATTACGTCTCACTCTTTATCCTCCTGTTACTGCAAAGTGTTTTGAAGATTAATGCAATGCTTTCTTTGGCTATTAGGCAGCATTTCTGTTCCTGCTGCCTCCAAGAAATGTATTTGTGCGAAAGAATCGATCAGTGATTTTGTCTGTAGACCACAGCTTTCTGGAGGAAGATTACACGCTTAAAGGCACAGTATGTAATTTTCGCCGCTAGAGGGCGTGTATTCAAAACAAACAAAGAGACAAAGGTGTAGTTAGATGACGCTGTGACTGAGTGTGGAATCATGGGAGTTGTGGTCTTCATCCCCACAGCCGATGCAATCCGACGGGACTCGGGCAGAAATCATGTTCATGGATGAGTTAATGATTTATTAACGTAGTAGAATGAAGCAGGGTGAGGCTGAAAGCCGTCGAAGCGAAACGAGGCGCTGAACGAGCGCGACACACGGCTGGAAAGCAGCGGAGCTTTTATTATGCCACAGTCGAGCGCTTCCGCTTGGGATAATGCAAGTACACAAGTCAGCAAAATATACAACACTGTTCTAGTGGTTTTTGGATTGTGAAGAACAGGCCTGTCTGTGGTTCCTCTCGGTTCCTGAGAAAGCACGGATGTAGGCCTCGATGTAGGACATACTTTGAGCGGGACATTATTCAAGGTTATTTAAAGACACCACAAAAGTAGGCTAAGTGTCGCATGTCGAGTCCCGAAAGAAAAGTGTGTGAAAACAAGCAGAGCGGTTTCATTAAGAGCACACTGGTGATAATTAAGATAATTGTCCCTAAATTCAGCATTAGCGGTGTGGTTTAGCAGATAAAGATATGGATTAAACGTTTCTTTCACACATGCACAAATGTTTCCAGATTCATAGAAACCCTATATCATGTATAAAACACTATTTATGCCATGAGTTCACTGTGTAAATCCCTATTCCTGTAAGATGCTGAAGCTTTACATCCAAACACTCTGAAGCATCTTGAACAGAGCTGTGATGTATTTTCAATCTAAGACGCTGTCAAACTAGAGAATAGAAATGTAGGGCAGACGTGATTTCATCTGCTGGATGTTGATCGGCGTGTGATCATCAGAATGAACACTGAGTCACATCACAGGTGGAGCAAGTTAGGACAGACTGATTAAAGATGATGAACAATTACACATATATCAGAATAAATACACAGACAGATGAATCACTTACAGTAACATGCAGGAAGAAAATAAATAGGGTTAATTTCATTCTGACTTTAAGGAGACTTAAAGTGTTGGACTAAGAAAAAGAAAGATTGCAGGCAGTCCAACGAGGAAATAAACGAACATGAACCTGTTGAGGAACGACACACAGATCACACCCTCTCTGAGTCACCAGAAAACACTCCGAGCTCGCCTAAATCATCTTAGAAAGCTGGAGAACCAGGAGGACGAGAGAATAAAACACCTCCCGTCACCGTCATATACAGCAGCCGCAAATAGAGCTTGCTCAGACAATAAAACAAGTGTCATTAATCGTAAGCGAAAAACAGCTTACAAACAAAACACTTGAGAAATCAGCATCATAGTCATTAAATATTTGCTAGGTTTTCTCTAAAGTGCACCTGGAATTGTTTTAGCCCATTAGATGCGTTAGACTTCCACAGAAAACCATCACTGATTCAGTCAGTGTTAAAACCGCTCTCAGTGAAGTGATCTGAGAACATCCCCGTCACACCTGCGCTGACGGTTTGTCACGCGACTAAATATTTTGCAGCCGTTGAATCTGTTGCAGGGAAAAACACAGACAAACGCTGAAGTGCAACAGAGGTTTATTGTTAATTATGCTCTATGGACATCAACAAGCTTTATGCTATCATAATATGAATATCAAATTTTACTGCAATAAAGTGCAAGACCTTTGACTGTACATTTGTTTCATTTACTAGTGTACTGTGCCTGTAAGAGAATCTAAAGCCCTTGAGTTCAAACCACACAAAAGTAGCTAAAGCTGAACTTAAACTACACCGAGCTTACGATTCCATCATCATCATCATCATCATCATCACAAACTCAGACAGAGCTGTTAATATCGGCACTGGTTAGTATGTCTGATGGTAAACCGTTAAAACCTCAGCACATGCTGTGTGATAACAATCGTGTTCAAAGATTTAACATTCAATATCTTCAAACAGGCGGATTCACCAGCTCACGATCGGATCAGGAGACAGTGAGGAAAAAGATTAATATAAAGTAACAAAAAAAAAAAACAGGCATTCGCATGAACACGTGGCACAATCCAGTAATACAGAACAGTCCTGACATTACAGCCTGTGCATAGGAAGAATAAAAGCACTTATGGTATCTGCAAACATTAAGCACGTGGTGATGCTCGCTCACGCTGGAGGGGAATAACGACAGCATTCCAGTCCACTCGAGAGAACCAAACCAACCCGCAGCATCCGGCGGCTACCCGTCTCTGCATAGAGAAAGCATAGAGATGCGAACCTGCGGCACGAAACGGAGAACGAACGCAACAGGACTCTGCTGGAAGCGCTGCATGCCGATGCTGTCGTCCGTCACTATCTGTGCAGCAGCACGAAGGCCTCCAGCCGATCGGGGATGTTCCCGCGGTACGCCAGGCCGTGTTTGATGATGGCACGCGCCGCCAGACACTGCAGCGTGGTGTGGTTGATGGGCTGGATCAGGTTCTTGGCCAGCTCCTTCTGGTCCAGCAGGTCGCAGGCCGTCTGCTTGAGGGAGTTGGTGCTGTCGAAGTGCGTGCCGCAGGAGATCAGCAGGTTCATGATGTCGGGGTGGTTGTTGGACGCAGCCACATGCAGAGGGCTGTTGTCGTCCTCGTCGCGGCAGTTCACGTCTGCGCCGCACTCCAGCAGGATAGAAGCCACCTGGAAGGAGGGGAACTTGCAGACGGGGTAGCGGCCCACACAGGTGGTGTTCCTGTCCACCGCCAGGTGCAGCGGACTGAAGCCGTTCTTCCCGCAGGCCTGCAGCTTCAGGAACTTGTAGATGGTCTCTTTCTTGAAGTGGTCCTGCTCCACGGTGCACGGCACTTTCTCCAGCAGACAGATGAGGTGCAGGATGATGGACAGCACCTTGCCGAGCTGCACTGGATCCGGGCCGGGCCGCGGCTGCTTGACGGCGCGCTCGATCTCCAGCACGCTCTTGCTGAGGATCTCCATCAGCTGCTGGAAGGACACGGAGGTGCCCAGAAGACCCTTGGCTCGGTCCTGCAGCATGAAGGAGAAGAGCTCGGCGAAGGACAGCAGGCTGCTGGCCGTCATGGGGCTGAGCGCGTCCAGGTTGCTCTGCTGCATGTCCAGAGCATACTTCCACAGCTTGATGCAGCGCTCGAAGTTGCCCGAGTCGGCGTAGACGGCCCCGCGGTAGCGGATGTAGTAGGATGTGTCCGGGTGCGACGGGCCAAGGATGCGCTCTCGGATCAGCAGCGCTTGCATGCGCATGTCGTCGGGGTCTGCGATCAAGCTGTCGAGCTCCTCGAACGTGTTCACCTCCTTGCTGTAGTCGTAGGCCGGCACCAGCTGCTTGGGCTCGTCCTTCAGGAGCACGTGGTTGGGGTCGCTGTGCCGCAGATCCATGGCTCTCTTCCAGTACTTCAGCGCTCCCAGCAGGTCTCTCTTTTTATCCACAAACGTGGCCCCCAGCAGCTCCAGAGCATTGATGCGCTCCGTTCTGCCCGTCTGAGGGTGCTGCGTGAGGAAATCCACGATGTTGGTGTGGCCCGTCACGCTGGCGGAGAGCAGCGGCGTCATCCCGTAGCCGTCCTTCTCCATGGTGGAGCCGTACTTCAGGAGCATCTTCATGATCTCCAAGCTCCCGGACTCAGCGCAGTCGTGTAAAGCCGTGTTACCTTCAAGACAAAGATCACACAGAACGCAAGTCATCAGAGACGCATCGATGAATGACAGAAATACTACAGTCACTGAAGATAAACAGAAGCTGCGCTAAAATACAGTCAAACCAAAAATTATTCAGACACAAGATATAATTTTTACTAGTGGGTGCAGGACACTATAGTTCATTTATGTAAGTGAGGATAGCAAAATAAAGTAAACTGTGACATAACCAAAAATTCTTCATACAGTGCAAAACAGATAAAAATTTGGGACCAAAAATTATTCACACTTTGACCTGATCATGTTTTGCTTAAGTGTTTTTTTCTTTAATTTCTAATGCGACCTTTTTACACCACAGACTGAACAAAATTATGCATTGCTTGGTAATTGGTTGAGCTAAATTGGTTTTATCTAATTGTGTTCTTTAAATTTAACAGCTGACAGCTATTCAGACGAATTCATTACATACCTTTCTATCAAAGTTATCTGACATTATCAAGATGAATTTGTTCTGACACCG